ACTGTCCACCGACATTGACAACAACCTTCCCGCGTGCCCTCCCACTACCAACAATGTCATACCCGTCCACAGCCTCCTCAAATCCAACCTCTCTCTCCACGACGGCCTTGATCCTCCCATCCGCCAGCATAGCAACAACCTCCTCCATCAAGGCCTTCCCAGGATCCATCATGGCCGTCGCAGCCCACCGCCTCCCCGTGCCGCCCAACCAAGTCGAACGGGGCCACAGCGCATTCATCTGCATCTGCCAGCCCGCCTTGACGAGAGCCCCGACGGACTGATCAGCCGGCTTGATCCCCACAGCAGAGTACACGCCATCGGGCTTCAGATACTCCGCGCAGTGCACATAAACATCCTGCACACCAACACAATCAACAACAGCATCGAACCTTGTCCCCTCAGCCCCAAACTTCTCCCCCAACACTTTTGAGACGGGCACCGGAAGACTCGCAGTATAATCCACGACCTCGTCAGCGCCGAGCCTCAAGACCTTCTCCGCGTTCCGCCCCGAACAGACGCCGACGACGTGGCCCTCCCGCCCGACGATGGCGCGCGCCACCTGCACGGCCAGAGACCCGATGCCGCCGCTGGCGCCGTTGACGAGGACCCTGTCGCCTCGCTTGAGGCTCGTCGCGCGGACGGTCACGGCGGCGGTGCAGCCTGCCGTCATGACGCAGCTCGCGTCGCGGAGGGAGACGTGGGAGGGGACGGGGACGGCGTAGCGTGCGGGCAGGAGGACGTGTTCTGCCAGGGCGCCGGTGCCGGTTGGCCAGGCGTAGGATATGGGGAGGAAGGCTGCGACGCGGTCGCCCTGTGAGAAGAAGCGGGAGGTGCTGCTCTTGACTGCTGCGGTTGTGCTTGGTTCGGCGTTGAGAGCCGACGACGTACCCACATTGGAATCGGACCCGGGAACGGACCCGGGAACGGATTCGGGGCTCCACACATCCGTTACGGTCCCGCTCAAGTCCCAATCCGGCACCGCCGTCTTCGCGCGCACGGCGCCGGGTAGCTTGGTGATGTAGAGGTGTCCGCCCGGATTCAGGGCCGCGTGTGCGACTTTTACGAGGAGCCATTGGTTGCCGTCGGCGGCGCCGGGGACGGGTTTGGCTTTTGCGAGGAGTTGGGTTGTTGGTGGGAGGGTTGGGGTTGGTCTGGAGATGAGGGAGAGGACGGAGCGGGGGGTGCCGCGGTTGGTGAATGTCCAGGCGCGTGATGAGGCCATGTTTCTTTTAATTTAGGTAGCTGAGACTGAATTCTTGTTCGGGTGGACGAGAGCTTGGTGAGTAGAGATTTTGGTGGTACTTGGTCTTGTCAGGAGCCTAGAGATAATGTGTGTAGAGCAAAGGACTCAGAGAAAGTGATGTTTGGATTATAAATATCACACATTCTCCGAATCTCCCTTGTCTAATTCCAATGAGTTCTTATACGAATGCCATGACTGCACTTGGTCAAGAGTTGTCGTCAGAATCGGCGGAAGTCGGCGCTGCCTAACGGTTAAACATAACGGTCTGACGAGGGCGATCCTGCCACATTATACACTCCTAGCGAAAGGGCCAATCGCAGCCAAGTAAGAACGCCACATTTCGAGTTACAAGAATAACGTTTCTTTCTTCCTTTTCTCTCCCCCGCGACCCCGAAGAAAAGAGACGACTAAACGGTCGCTTGCGTGTTACCATTCAGTACTCCATCTTGCATTCCGTACTCGTTACGTTGAGTTGGAAGCCATGACGGAGATCGTTACGATTGCTTGGAGATGATTTTGGCCGTTGACGAGAGACCCTGCCGCCTATTCGATCAGAGAGTCGAGAGTGCGGACGAGGTGTTGCAATCGAACACGAAGGGTTGCATTTAATAGTCGATCTACGGATACCTTGGACTGGCCGACTTTGATTGGCCTGCTAGCTATCGGTAGGTCAAGGGAGATGTTTTGAGAGAAGGCAAAATTCAGAATCAAGCCACAAATTAAATCCTCGGCTTTTGACGCTGCGACTAACTTCTGCACCTCTCAGGCTATAATGTGGTGCTGGACTAGGACTGTAGTTTCGGGTATTTTTCTGGGCAGGCTGGAACACCAACAGTGGTCGTCCGAAGAAAGTTGGCCAGGTAGCATCGGTATCAGGACACTGCGTTCAACGTAACACTGGTCCCAGCTGAGATTCAGATTCGAATGACTACTGTGTAGACGAGATCCAGTGTCACGAGCCCAAGTTCAATGTTGTGGCCATGCATGGCTATACCTTGGGCGGTGGATGGCGATGTTTTGCAATGTAGAGAGAGATTGCTAGGTGTGGCAAATGAAGCCTGTAGCATTTGAATCAATTTATCGGCACATCTACGGCAAGTCTACCAAGTGATTGGGAATTGAAAAAAAGGGTCTATCCGAACTGAAAACATGCGACCACAAAAACAATCAAAAAAGACGCGACGTGCAGCTGACACTTTTTCTTTGAGCTGAATGAGTCGCCAGTTTGCCAGGTTCATCGCATTGAACCGCGTGGCACGGGCGACGTCTCACTGGCCTCACTGGCAGTCACGACTCACCAGTTGGGAGGAGTGGGACGATTTGTCTCGACACCGTTCGGGTCAATCCCCGCCCTGAATGGGAAAGTCTGGTCTGGTCTGGTGGGCTGTGTGGCACAGCGGCACCGGCACGAAAGGGCGGCATGGGCGTTGGAAGTGGAGAGGGAAGACACTTTGTGAACTTTTGGGGCGTCGAAAGCGAATTTCCCACCCAATGACAGTCTTGCCGCAGCTTAGTGGCCCCTCCCCTCCCCTGGGGAAAGAAGACCGGCGACTTGAGCTGGAAGTCCAGTCCAGCCGTAGACTGAGGGGTCCCTTGGGTGGCCAAAGGGGGCCAAGACTTTGGGATGCAGAATTCGTGGCCTGGAACCTTGTCGTGCCTGTCACGCTTGTCCACCGGAAAGCCAAAATAACCACCACCACCCAAAAGCCAAGGGCAACTTATCCCTGGTGCGTCTGCCTGCCTACCCAGGTGTCCAGGAACGCATACGGCCGTCGGCAACACACCACCATTCCTTTCTGTCTTTCCCATCCCCTCACGACTCTCGTTTTTTTCTTGTTACCTGGCTGGCTGTTGTTGTTTTCGTCTTTGCTGCTGTTGGAGGATTTGTCTACGCCTTGGCCGCCCGCATCAATCCTACCATCGAGACCATTCACCAGGCATCTCATATCGAAAACCACCGACCTACCTCTTCTTCCCCACGACAACACCACAGCACCATTCCCTCAAGATGTCGATGCCAGGCGCCTTCTCTCCCGATCTGTCACCCTACGAACCAGACTCCAAGAAGGACAATGTTTCCGCTGCCGCCGCCGCCAACCCGCCACCTCTCCGTCTAAACCAACCCTCCGACGCCTTCTCCCTCCACACAAACGATCCCTACTACGACGACATCGCCACAGCCTCGTCTTCCAACGCCGGCGACCTGCCTCCGTCCTACACTGACGAGCCCTCGTCGCTCGACCCCAAACACAACATAACTACCACCGTGACCCCGCTCCTAGCAGACGAGTCCGGCCACTCCCCGCTTCTCTTCCGCAGGGACCCCGAAACCGGTGCCGAAATCCACTGCTCACGCCGCCTCGACACCGACCCGGCCTTTCTCGAGTCCCACATCACATCTCTCGCCCAGTCGCCACCGAGACCCTACCTGCGCGTCCGCGGCACCCACACCGAGAGCATCCGCAAGCGCGACGACAAGACGGAGAGCAAGACCGTCGTCGACTTTGACGTCCGCGTCGAGCTCACCCCCTACCTCTACCGCGACATCGCCACCCGCCGCTCCTGGCGTGAGCTTCGCACCGCAGACAACTTTTCAAAGGTCCGCCGCGGTACCGTCTTCCCCACACGTGCCCCAGGCTTCGGCGGCAGGTCTTCGGGTGCTCGAGGCGGCGCCGCCGGCGAGGAGGTGAGCAAGGAGCCGCCCACGCTGCGGGAGTGGTGCCACCGCTACTGCGCCTCGCATGCGGGCCTCAAGACCTTTTCACTCCTGCGCACCGTGCCGGGGTTCGACGACGACGAGCGCCTCAAGGCCCGTCTCGAGGACCTCGTTCGCGCCACAAACTACCGCGGCCGCATCGACGTCTCCTTCCCCGTCCACGACAGCACGGTCGAGATCTACAACACGTGCCGCGTGAACCGCTGGCGTCAGACCACCTGGATCCGCTGGCTGTTTTACCTGACCTTCCTCTGGATCTTTGCGTGGCCCTACCTCTTCTTCCGCACCAAGCGCTTCGAGGTCGTCGAGGCCGAGTGGGCGTTTTCCAGACGCCGCAGAGGTCCCCAGACGGGTGCGGCGCGCGGAAGGGAGTACGTCAGCCTGTCCGAGGTGGACCTGTACAACATGTGGGCGCGGGCCATCTCCAAGGCCGTGCTGGAGAGGAGGCAGGGCGAGCTGGACCAGCGCGACCTGCGAGATGCCGAGGGGAGACAGGACACGAGCTTCGAAGACGTCCTCGCGGGGATCGATCAGGAGACGACGAGAGGGCTCGTGAGGGCTGGTGTTAGTGCTATGAATGTTGTCAATCGGCACTTTGGATGGGGAGAGGATCGTTGATCTTTGGTCTCGCTCGAGCACAGCATGCTTTTTTATTTCCTCGTTCATTGGCTGTTTTGTTCATCGACTTTTGGTTTCGTTCCCTCGGCTGGGTTACTTTGCTCGTTTTCCTGTCGTTTTCCATTTGCTCAAGGCTGGAAGTGCGGGTGTTTTGCTTTCTTGTTTCTTTTTTTTCCTGCATTGCCTCGTAATGATTCCCAGACTGTGACGCATCATGATTCTTTCTTTGCCCTTTTGGTTCGGGAATACCACTGTTTTGGCATAGGTAGCGAGGGTTCAGAGTACTTACGAAAAGCACAGCATGATATATATATTCATACGTACTACCCAATCAAGATGAATTGCTAGCAAACATGATTTCCAATATTTGTGCATTGAGTGATGTGCAAAGTTGCGTCTGTTGGGAAGAAAAAGAAGCAGAGAATGTTCATTTGTAAGAAGGAAGAGGAGGAGAAGGAGAAGGAGGGAAATATCATGTTGCACCCGAAGCTTCCGTCCCATGTCTCACAAGCGGACTGGACCCTTCCGCTTCGTGTAAGCACGCTCGAGCATCGTTAGGGTCTAGCTCCGTCCGGAAGGCACGGGCGACCGAGAGTATGTAGTTTTTTTTTGGCAAAGGTCACCCACCAATTGGACGAGTATGTACGGACCGTCCGCACAGAGTTAGGTAATCTGGACCCTGCGCCGACGGAACCCCGCCGTTTTGTTGTGCCCCGCCATCCCACCTCACCTCACCTCACCTCAGTCAATCTCATTGCGCCTGAACGTTCAAAAGCTCAAACACTCGCAGAGCTCGCCAAGTTTGTTTACCAACGTCGTGTCGTTCAACGCTCCATCCTCCTCAACAACAAGAACGCCTCGAATACGCAGAAATCAAGATCTACCAACAACATCGAGGAAAGAAGGAAAGGTGACAGAGTTATGGAAGTCAAGAATCCGCGCCGGGTGTTGGCGGTCTCGCTTGCGGACTCGACGCAGCATTTGAGTAGAGTCATCAAAGGTTGGTGGAAACGGCACTTTCTATTTTTCTCCTGTTTGTTTACATGAGCCTTGGCATCTGGCTATTGCATCCTCAAACAGAAGCTCTTGACCTCACGTATCTCATGCTCATGAGATGAAAGGGGAATGAAGCCCGCATCACATGAGAAACTACGCAACGGCATCCTCATGATCTCACCGCAACTCGTCACATTGCAAACTTTCCACGCACTCTCACTAGATGCCAACACTTTGTGGAAGAGTATCGTACTAACGCGGGAAGGGTAGACCTCACGGGCACCCACCCAGAACCGGCATCCACAACCCTCGCGGGCACAACGCACATCCTCCCCATCAAGACGAGCTACTACACCGCCGACGTGCCCATCTGGCTGGATCTCATCGACTCCCCGGCCGAGTGGTCCGCCTCCTTTCTCTCGCCCGAGGCCAAGGAGGTCCTCACCGTGCTGGGCGGGTTGGCTGTTGTTTTTGCGCTGCCTTCTTCTCCTTCATCATCGTCTTCGACATCAGCCCCGTTACCGGCAGATGGTACCACCCCTGCGCCAGCATCAGTAACAGCACCGGCAACGACCCCCCAGCCCTCGCCAGAGGACACCCGCGCGCTCATCACCGAGGTCGGGAGGGTCGTTCGCGAAGGGCTCGGCGGGTGGGGATGGGACGGCGTCGGGTTGGGCATCGGCGTCGGGGATGGGACGGCGGACGAGTGGGAGGATCTCTGCGCTGAGTGGGGACTCGAGTTTGTGCAGGTTCGTGGGGGTAAGAAGGATGATGGCCGGAACGAGTTTGGAGGTTCGTCACATCCCCTTTCTTGTCTCTTCTTTTCCGTTCCTGCTTTGGGCTCTCTCTCTTGCTTCGGATCATTCAGTCTGCGGTTCATACCCCTGAGCCGTGCTTCAACACTTGAGGGCCGTTTTGGGAAGAAGGGGGCATGGGAGAGTAGAGCACCTTTGTCCCGGAACCTACCCCTATTCGGCACAACATAAAAGGTCCGTCCATGCTGACATCCCTTTGCCAGAGAAAATGGGCATAGCAAGAGTCCTCGAAGCCCTCGAATCCAACGACTGGGACGCCGCAGACGACATGGACGGCCCATCAGACCTCGATTCGGACCTCGACACCGCCGCCGGTGATTTACCCAGGAAACCCAGACCTCTAGCAGGCGGCACCAGCAACGACGACGACGGCGACGACAACGACGATTTCGACCTCGACGACCCAGAGAACCTGGATTTCGGCTTCGACAGAGCGGATTTCGAAGGGCTGAAGAAGGCGATTTGGAACCTCGAGCAGGAGCCGGAGGATGAGGATGAAGTAGTAGAAGGGGGAGCAGCGGACACGGCAAAAGCAGCGAGTGGAAGCGCAGGAGGCGCTGCTACCACCGAGAAACCGGATTCGGCGAAGACGACGCAAGAGAAGAAGGCCGAGGACGCAGAAAAAGAGGACCTGAACGCCGAGGACGTGGAAAAGATTGAGCAGATGATGCGCAAGCTGCAGGCTGTCCGGGACCTCAGCGCGGGGCTGCCCGAGGACCAGAGGCGGAGGATGGCGAAGAAGGCCGTTGGGGAGGTGATGAAGGAGCTTTGAAAGGGGGGCTGTAGATGAATGCGCTTCTGGCTCCTCTAATCTGGTCTGGGTTTGGGGGTTGGGCCGTTGATGTTTGGTCAGTCGTGTAATCATGTCAGCTGCGCAGGCTGCATGTGTCACTGGGAGGAAGACACAAAAGGAAGCAACTCTGAGATGGAAGCGGGACTGGAGGAAATAGCTCGCTGATCGGTTGCTCTGGGAAGAGTTTTTCCTATCGCGAGCAGTTTGGAGGACCAATGGTCTGTCGGTCTGTTTCCCTTGAACAGGAACAGTGACGGAAAAGAAGACAAAAGAACTAGCTGGAACTTTGGACACCCCGAGTCCCGTCTCCCAGAAATCTCGTCGACAGAAACTTTGCACTTGGGGTGGTCTAGGAACCAAGGCCACGGTTCTTGTGTTCTATGCAGACGAGAGAGAGAGAGAGAGAGAGAGAGAGAGAGAGAGAGAGAGAGAAAGAGAGACCCTGATTGGAAGTCAAAGGCAGCAGTATCAACCTCCAAACCAGAGCTATCTGCTCCCGCCATTACTTGAGAGAGTGGGAAAGGTGGCGTAACGGCATAGATACCCAGGCATGTCAGGTCTGAATAGCACAGAGAAAAGTAAAATAAAAAGGTCGAGAAAAATCGATCTCGTCTTCCATATGAAGCAGGAGTATTCGACTTTGGAGGACTTCTTCACCTGTAGGCCGTAAGCCCAGCCTCTCATAACCCAGACTGCCTACCTCAAGGTTCTGTAGATAATGCGCTGATGATTCCGATGTTTAGTCAGTCACGATAATCCTTTGGTCCATGCAACTGAGCAAGTAGTATACCTGAAGCAGTGTGACAGACGCAGGAGGCCATTCGGCTAGGTACTGACATGCAAAGCAATTGGCGTCAGAGTCGACCACTCACAACACAGTATGAAGATGTCACAAAGGCAATCGTAGTCCCTCCCATCTTCTTAAATCCCAGATAGGCTTATTGATCCATAGGGCGACACAAATCGGCCCATATATGAATACGGCATCAGCTCTACACAACCCGAGAGGCTCGATATACAGCCAACGATATGTTCCGTCTGCACTCCCCGACTGTCCAAATCCACTCAAATTTCTCCCTGTCGTGGGGCCTTGCAACGTCCATCTTCAACCAACTAGCGAAGAGCCTGTCTGGAGGCATTCGTCGCGGTATTAAGCCGTAGCCCGTGAAGTTGCAAGTGACCATGCTGAAAACATTATGGAGCAACAACGAACGTCAGCCATTACATCCAAAAGGGGCACCACATAGGGGTAAAGTCTCCAGAAACGTGGCTTTCTGCCGATCTCCCGTGAGCAGACAAAGTGAAGGCTATCCAGAAGACGTAGATCCTGGGATTTTCTAGCAAAATGCTGCCCCGGCTGTGTATGCTCAAGTTGGCATATTCCATGAATCACCAGGCCTCTCCTATTCCTTCCAGTCTTCGACACGCCGCGTGGCATGCATAGAGTGTTGCTTCTTAGTGCGAAAACGGTCCCATTTCAATATCTTGCGCAAGCTGACCCGTTTCGGGCCAGGGAAAACCGAGGGCGTGGTTAAGCAGACATATAGGTTTGCTTTAGACGGCTTGGAAATATAAAGTGAACCCACTCGAATTGAGCAGTTCGGACGGCGGGCGAACGAAGCAGGGAATCCATTAGTATCATGCGGCAAGGCTAGTTAGTGTACCCAGTCAGTCCATAGTGCCAAAGGTCGTTCGTCACTTGGGTTATGCTTCGGGGACGCTCCGCGCTTGAGTTTACCTATACCGAGTCATGAAAAAGAAGCCCTCGGTAGGTCTTGTCAATCGCCGAGAAGCTGGATCAACCCGGGAGAATAGATTGATCCGAACAATTCGACGGTCAAGTCCCGTCTCGGGGTCAAGCAGGTGTCAGCGGGATGCCGGCCAGGGGACCCGTCTCGGTGAGGGCCGGGGAGAACATCAGACGAACGCTAGCGTCGATCCTCTTGCAAGCCCTTGTGCGATCTCGTACAGATGCACGACGTCGACGTCGCAGACAGACGACGAGCAGGGACAAGTCCGGCACAGCCTCTCCATATGGCCCACAGTTTGGTTCATGCCGACGTGGTTCCCCTCCTCACTCCTGTCCCCTCTAGAGGCCCGAGCACGCAGGTCTTTGTAGCAATAGAATGTTCTGCCGCGCATCGCCAAACAATGCGGCGGAGCAGCGTGAGCGTGCTGGAGACTGGCGTCGCATGACTGGTGGTCTTTTTTCTTTCCTTCACGAATCCTCCCTCCTCTGCCGGCGGGGAAGCTAGGCTCAATCGGAAATTTCTCAGCGATGCCTGTAATGCTTGTCGAGGAAGCGATAACCTGCTAAGTTTCAGCAAACTCGATTGGGAATGCTTGGCCCGGTATCACGGTAGTTTTGGGTACCCTGCTGCGCTGTTGGGGGCCTCGCTAGACGCTGTGTTCGTGATCGTTGGTAACCTGTAGTCGATTGCATGCCAGTATAGAGGGCATTTCGTACAGGTAGGCTGTAGCCAAGTCGATTGAGGAGAATGAATAATCGTCCGAGCTTAGTGGTGCGATGCTGTGGGATCTCGAGTTCTGCCTTACAGTCGCTAGTGTCTATCTAGATCGTTGCACAGTATCTCTCATGTAATGGGAAGTAAACAATCGTAAAATGCGCAGTGGACATGCACCATCTTGCACATGAGGCTTTAAAACATTGCAATTGGAGTAAGCAATGGCAACGCGTCAAGGCGCGTTTCTCGATGTGTTGTCGCAGCGTCGCGATGATCATTCATGCCTCGGTGGAGCCCCAGCTTTGGCAACCTGCCCATTGGTCAACTTTCGCGGAGTGATTATGCTCCGTCAGTGGTGGACATGGAGCTGAATGCAGTTGCAAGCGACACGAAGGCTCTGGGCCTTCGGACGTAGCTACGGAAGCAGAACCAGACTTTTGGGACGGTATCGATGGCAACTGACAGTTTGACAGCCATGAGCGTTTCGCGGTGTGGAAACAAAGGAACGACAAAGACTTTGAAGCACGCCATTGTCAAGCCAAGCAAAATTAGCCAACTATCGACAACACGGGCTTGATAAAGACTGTAGCCTTTTCGGTAGCCGCGGATGGTCGGCTGACGGGATTTCCGGAGCAGCAGATCTGATATATGGACCCTGTATCCGTAAAGCGTCACACGCTCTCGTGTTGCCTGGCTGTCAGTAGCCGATTTCCATGCCACCGTTTGATTCTGTGGGTTGGTGCCACCGACTTTGCGGCGGAAATGTCAGCGATACATCTCGCCTATTCCTCGCCTTGTCTACCTCTTGCGGCAATCTTGCGTATTATCCATAAAGGGTCCAGCAGCAAGAGCCGGTCTCTCAAGGGCTCCCGGCAAGCGAGGATTAACTCTGCAGGGCTCGAGATAGGGGGAGGGGCAAAGCCAAGGGAGTTGGCCAGGGATTTCGGGCTCGCAATGTTCGACGATTCTTCTGGAACGAATTCGCCAGGCTGTGAGATTGGGGTCCCCGTCCGGCGTCCGGTGATGCTAGCAGCGATGAACCCCAGACGGGCAGATTCTTTGAAGCAATGGGCAGCCCATACCGGCGACCGCGAAATCCGGGCACATGCGGCGGCGGGCTGGCAACTTAAGAGGGCGATGGATGAATTCCACAGTCAGAATTGGCCCCGCCGTACTTGCGGACGACCGTCGTCGGCTTCGGTGGCTGAGTCAGTAACAGAAGTGTTTAGATTGTTTGAATCCGAGGCCAACGGCGAGTGGGCATCCAAAACGACGATCTCCCACCAACAACGCACGGAACTATGCGACGGTCGGTCGCCAATGGTCACGGCTAGACGTCCTGCTCCGTTCTCCCTTATGCGGCGAAAAAAGATAATTATCTGTATTCCGTACAGATATTCCCCCCAGGGTTCTTGGTTGATGTTTCGCGGAGGAAGCACGCTGCACAACGGCCGCGCTCCGACAGGGCTCTTGTCTGACAGTTGTTGTTGAATGGGGCCGGAGGCGGACCGGGGGCTAGGACTGGAGACACGAGCCAGAAGCGGGAAGAGAAAAGATCAGACGAAAAAGGCACGACGTATCCGCAGAATGAGGGCCCATGGGGCCAGAGAGGCGTGGAAGGCAGGGGGAACCTCAACGAAGGTCCTCTCTCAGACTCTCACCCCTCCCTTTCTCTTCCTCCAGGCTCTATGTCTGGTGATTCTGCCCTGGTTCCATGAGGGAGTCTTAAGCCCTGAGCCTTGAGATGCTGCGGTAGTGGCTCTCTTTCTAACCCGACAAGGAAATCCATCGACGATCTTTCGCCTGACCGAATTCGGCCAAGTTTCAAGCATAATGTCCAATGAGAGTGATTTGACTTTGACAGATCCCTGTTGTTCTTCTCGAGGCTGGTTGGCTGAGCCGCAGCGTCCCTGAGAAAGTTGCGAGGTACCAACATCAACGCTCAGGGGTAAAAGCGGATCCTGCTGAAGACAACTTGGAACCCTGACACCGACTAGTTCTCAGGGACAGTCTTCCGCATTCCTTAACACTGTGATGACCTTCTCGCACTTCGCGCACCCCTTCAACAAGACCGATTCTGGAAAACGGAGCCGAACCGTCATGCATCACCGACCCAATGCCGTCCCCTATCCGTTGCTCCACGACTTTGCTTCGGCGCTGACAGCGGACTTGTCTCGTTTGAGCAAAGAAGCCTGTGGACTCTCGAGTGCGGTCTCCCTCGTTTCCATGCAGGATGAAGTCAAACTCTATGCTTCGTCGTTCGGAACACTTGAAACGAAGCTACTTGGTTGGTTAGAGAACAACAGCATACCAACAAGACCCTCGTCAACCTTCGGGGGGTTTTCTTCTTTGGAGGACCACCTGGCCGGGATGAGGCGCGCCAATGCCATGAATGCAAGCGCAAGTGCAAAGGCAAATGCAGACATGGAGGTGTTATTTGACCTTGAACTTTGGACGGGCGGAGGATCCCATTGCTATTTCGGGCTTCCTGATGGTGTATGGTAGATTTGTAGCCGCCTTCACGGAGTCCGTCTGTCTTAGTGATACGCCGACGCGTGCGCGAGCATGGGACATTCCGATCGCTTGAGCTCCATTCGACGGCGCCACGCCTTCGAGGAACGATGCCGGCGGCAGCGAGCGCCAATGAGCGCTTGGGCGGAACATTTCGTCTGAAGTTTTTGTCATCTGACATTGGCAGAGCATGTCCAATGTCACCGGTTGTGATCAGACCGGGACGTCTGAGCATATTAAGAGTCAAAGCTCCGGCAGTCGCGCAAACGCAATCCATCTGCCAGCTGCTCTGTGGCCGAACTTCGTGGATGTGCTTCTCCCGAATGTAGAATATTCGTCCCCCGTCGCTGGCCGATGGAGCTCCTCCACCAATCTCGAAAGGGTCACCGTAGGACGGCCGGATGGCTTGGAGCTTGAAGGTAGCTGGCCGGATGATCAAAGACAGTTAGCGCTGCGTTACAGTGTCTTCGGCGCATGTGGCACTTGGGCCATGGGATGGGTGTTCTGGCTGCATAACGCTTCTGCAGGTACGAGGTAACACAGGTTGCGTCTCCCAGAAACCAAGGCCGAAGCCGAAGGCTCCTGGAAAGCCGACGAGAGTATGTCGCTGCCTTTGGTCTAGCAACGGAGGGAGGATCGATGCGAATTCCAAGACCGTTTCGAGCTCGAACGTGAGGACAGCGAAACAAGACCAGTCGTGGGCGTTGTGTTGGATAGCATTGGTTCGTTAGATGTATACTGGAACGCTCAAAGTGTGTAAAAAGACACTCCGTCGTGCAAAGCGATCTTTGTGATGCCCTAGTGTCTTGTCTGAGACATCCCTTTGGTTCCCGGCACTCCCACAGGAATGGCCAGGCGATCGCCCCGACGCGTTGTTTTTAGAGGTACGACGTTTCGATGTCTGTGGCAGACGCGAGACAGGGCCAAAGGGAGACGCTGAGCATGGAGCAAACATAGTTCACCTCAGACTTTTGCGCAACGATTCGTGGCGGCACCATCCCTCGGTATGACGGCCGAAGAGGTTGGGTGGTATGTAGTTGGGCGGGTTGAACCTCAGCTCAGCATGGGGAGGCCCCTTTCTCGACATGTCATTTGTGGAAGTTGACGCCTGCTTACTCAGTGGTTCCAGAAGGCAACCGACGTATCTTGAGTTATGGGTGGAGGCTCTCTGGAACTGGCTTGGTCTTGATGGTCCGAGAAAGGGGACGACCTCTGGAGGCGCAAACCCCGTGCCGTTGGCGTCCCCGGCGGGATGGCCTCGAAATGACAAGAATCTCCCCAAGAGCATCGACCATGTCATGAAAGCCATCACCCCCATCGCTCGAATGAAGAACCGAGCGGGCGCAAAGGCGACGTGGAGATGGGCGTCGAGATCTGCCCCGCGGATAAGTGGACGGTCGGGGCTCCCTCGGGCGAGCAGTTTGGCGGCCAAGAGAATTGCGTAGTTCCAAGAGCCGTGAACCGTCTGCCTGGGTGTGCATAGTGGGCACGCCGCTCGGGAAAGCCTGTGCTGTGACCAGTAATGAGTAAATATCCAGCTGGTCCGAGCCTATCTTGTTTAAACAGTCTTTTGAACGTTGGTCCCGGCCTAAGCCGTCAGCCAGATATTTCGTGATTGGAAAGTGCTAGGTAGGTCCAGTAAAAGAGGCTTTGCACTTTGACTGAATCATTGGTTTTCTTGTGCTGAATCAGTCGAACTCAGTATGGCGGTCTTGACTAGGAAGACCTTGTCAGCCCTCGGCGATAGGCGCTAGCGCAAGGCGTACGGGTCAAGTGAGGTTCAAAGTAGTCTTGTCTCCAGCTTGAATTCGTGATGGACCCATTCCGAGCTGGAGGCTCACAAAGCCGGGACGGCGGCGTCTGAGCGGACGCTTGACCGCCAGTCGCATACTACCGGCTGCAGAAGTCTGTGGATCAGCTATCGTCTGGCAGGTGTCTCTGTGCTGCGTGACTGTTGCGCAGAGCGGCAGGCGTCACCATATCAAGCGAGAGCGACCCTTTTTTTGCCACGGATCATTCTTGTTTAGAAGATGGAGAACGGAGCCTTGCAGATCCAAGCCTGAGGACGGAAGCTGAGGACGAACGGTGTGTGTGTATGGGCAGAACAGCAACCAGGCACCGCATGCAGCATATGTGAGGTCAGGCGGCGCAACGATCCACGACAGAAGCTGCCTAGATCGATGACTGCATGCCCTGGACAATGATTGATGGCCGTCGATTCGATTCGACGAAACCTTGTGTGCTATTTCGAGAGGTGCCTGGTTGCCATGGCGGGTTTGTATGGTTTCGTTTGGAGTCGTCTGTGACACAGCTTGTCAGGATGCAGTCGACAACATCTGGCGGATCATTGTGTACTTGACACGGCTTGTGTGAGGAGGGCGCGTCTTGGGGGCGAGGGGAAAGCGTGAATGTCGGGCGAGGAGGGCGAGGAGGGGGAGCATGGATCGCCAGGAACAGGGACAATACCGGACGAAAGAGACGTCAGGTACGACACAGTGTGGGAGCAAATAGTCGAAGACGAGCCAGCGATGTGACGCTGGAATATGTGGCTTGTCCCAGTTGCGAGTGGTGCATTGTGAATGCAGTGCAGCAGTGCAGCAGTGCAGCAGTGTAGTGCAGTGATGCCAACCGCGATCGACCGGCGCCAGCAAAAGACGCCCTCGACCTCCAGTATGATGCAGGTTGACAGGACCATGTTGAAAGTTCACGCTGCAACCGCATGGAGACCTGACTTGGAGACTTGGAGCGAGAGAGAAAGAGGGTGGATGGAAATCAACCTGAGGTTCCAATCGGGAAAAGACTGGATGAACGACGTGAGCAGGGGTCAGGGAGCGACGTTTCTAAGGTGGGACATAGGTATCCAGCGTACCTTCCTCCGTTCGGGTACCTTACAGCTAGTGGCTCTTTCCTTAGGTTTGGTGCAAGTGCGACTGGCAAGTGCAACGGAAGGCGGAGAAGCCGCGCACTGTGAACAAACCGTTGCGGGTCTTTCTTGGTTGAGGGGCTCGAAGTATTCGTCAGAGAACCTAAGCATCCCTGCCACCGTCTCGCGGACGTAAGACTGACGGGACAGTTTGGGCCGACTAGGCCTGCCGTTTTGCCCGCACATGACGAGTCTGGTTCTGGGTACACAGTAGGATGGATATCTTGGCTCCAGGAACGTTGTCTAAGCTCACCAAGGCGGTGGGCGATCCCTGGTAACTCGACATGGGAAGATAGACAGCCCAGAAGGGCAAACGGATGGAAAATGCGGGAAGGGATGGAGTAGGAGGGACGCGACAGATTGGCGGGATAAGGTGTCATGATAATGCATAACAAAACACATTATAACACCCTCCCCTACCCGTGCCTGGATGTCGGGACGAGATAACGGCTGGGATTCGGGGACTTTAGACTTTGGATGATCTTGACGTCGGAGGATTGGAGGATGCCTGGCTGGACTGGTTGGTCTTGATTCTCGAACAACCAAAGAGCCAGCATCCGTGTCGCTATCCGTAACACAAGGTGCGGATGTCTGTGAGAATCCAGAGGGGGAACGGATACATAGGTAGGTACGGAAACAAGCCCCTGTTCAAACAGCACCGATAAGACGGTCGTGGCTTTGCGGCTGCGAGACTTCCAGGTTTGGCGTTGTTTGGTACGGAATATGGAGTGCGGCTGCATCTTTCGCATGACAACAGCCCCGAACCGAGTGATTCAAAAACAAGATGTCCGCTGACTCCGCTTGGAGTTGTTCGTGTCGTCTACGTACGATTCCGTCCATTGCAAGTTTAGAACACAAATTCCACTTCTCTTTGTTCTCTGGGCCAAGACATGTTTCCATTCGTTCCTTGCATCCCCTTTTTCGAGCTGCCGTCCGACGTGTCTGCTGATGGATGTCTGCATTATGGATTCAAAGTACCTACCTTGTCAGTTACCCCTGTGCCTGAGGACCGAACCAAAAAGATGGACCCCGCCCATGCATCTGTGCTTCACTGCTTGCTCCGTTCCGGGCCCACACAGTCTCATCAGCCACAGTCACAGCCAGACGTGTACGTACCTGCGCATGCACAATACTACGTATGGAGTACGTACTCCATAGACGTGGACTTTCCTTTCCAAGTCATGCTTGACGGGAACCTCCTTGGACCTTCCGTTCATCGTCCCACCGTCCGGCTCTTATGCCTCCCTTTCCCGGCAGAATGCCAGAATCGACAGGACCAAGCCTCGAGGCCGAGCCTTCCAGGGCGATCAACAACGGAGCGAGGATGCGGGCGGTGGAGGTTGACCACTGACAGCCAGACAGCGTGAGTCTTGAGGGAGATCCGCACTCGCCTCCACAGATGTTGATGCAGCGCGCATCAGACACCGGCCGCGAATTTCTCTTACGGCCCCCAAAAAGGATGGAGACTCTTTCGTCCGTCTCCCCTCACTTACCGCGCAAGGTACGGCCATTTTGGCGGAAAGCGCGACACATTCTGCGAGTATCTTGCTCTGCTTCAGTCCCCGGCCGTGGCTCATGCTTCGCGACCCACGGCGTCTGGCGTTGCGTTAGACGAGAGTCACAAGACGGTGAGGACGAAAAGGATAGGCGACACTATTTGTACCGAGTACCCATAGCGGGCAGCGATCTAGAGACTGGGCCGGATGATGCGCGCTCTCACCCGTTACCTCATGCTTATGCGGCATCTTTCGAGCCGCAAAACACGTGGTAGTGTCTGTCTACCTACAGAGGAGACGGATACTCTTTAGTTGATACTAGCCACTAAGGTAGCCTGGCATCGGACACGAGGTAGGAAAGGATGGACGATTTTTGATAATCAGAGCCTGAGGATGTGTTCGTGTAAGTACTGCGTACTGCGTAGGCATGATGCTGAGTGTCTATCGGCGTCCAGGTGGTGGACGGATGCCGCGCGATTCGATTCAATGCGTCCATCGGGCGCGACGCCGCGAAGCCAACAATAGAGAGCGAGAGGTACTCTGGCACTTGCCGGTCTCCCTTTTGGCCTCCCGCTTGCTGGGATAGGCCTCCCTTTTGTCGTGTTTGGTCTCTCCTCGGCCGCTGCATGTTTCTGCTCCCCCACCTTTCCCTCAATGACCACTGGGCACAAGAAAGCAGTCCAGCATCAACAGGGCAAGGAACTGCAGCAACGAGCAGGGCCATGATCCATGGCGGGTGCGATGGTGCACCTCCTATCAGCAGCCCCGATGGACCAACGGCGGCGCGCGGCGTTGCGGCGGTGTGTAGTCATTCTGGTGTGGGAGAGCGGAGAGGGAACGAGACTGGTCTGGCTGGTTTGGCTGGTCTGGATCTGGATTGGGAGATACGGATGCATGAGGTGAGGCGCAGGACGCAGGAACCGGTCAACAACGCATACTCGCATGCACGCACAAGGTGCACAATTATCAGGTCGAAGACGCCCACGCAGAGCGGAGTACGAATAG